TACTGTTTCCTTTTATTATGAATATTTTTATCCACACTTTAATTTAAAATGTAATTTTAAAAAATGTTAGACATGGCTTATACTAACTCTAAAGTGATATATAAGAAAGGGCAACACATGTAAAGTACCTTGGACTAGAATTCTAGAGAACTAGATTACAGATGCATGTCCTCTTTTGGATTATTATTGCCTGACTGCACTGGACCTGAGGACATTTGAAAATAAAAACTGTGCGCCAAGTGATTTCCTTGGTGCCACATGATTTAATTATTTCATGACTTTATAAAACTCAAAAAAAGCTCAAGATTTTAAGTTATTTTCAGAAGATGGAAAGAGGATATAGGAGTGGCAGCAGATTTAAGAGGGAAGAGGCAGTCACAAACTAAAGTGTATGAAGAGGGATAATCATGAGGAGAAATGCAGGCATATTCAGAAATCAGGAGCCCCAGGAACAGTGGGGGATAGGGCAGGGTTGAGGAAATGCTACAGAGAAGTAAGACACAGGGTTTAATAAAGGAGGATAAATTAAAAGTCTTCAGATAAAATAGTTCGCTACAACTAGCAACCTCAACAGTGCCAACCAGGGAAAAGTAAAACTGCATAGACATCAGATAGCTAGAAACTTCTTTATTATAAATTCTAGCAGAAGGATCAAATACACTTGGTCTTCCTCAGTTGTTTAATGTATAATAAAAATAGTAAGTTTTCTTTTGTGGAAACTCACAGAAGCCAATGTTTGTAGGGAGAAAAACAACAAATAAAATGCTCATAAACATCTAGATTGTACTCTTAAAGACTACAAAATACCATATTTAGTTAGAAAGATGCTCTTACTAAGAAATCATGGTCAGTTCCAGGCGAATCTTATCGACATCTATTTTGAACCTCAGGTAACAGGCTAAGGAGATGAAATGAAATCTTTTGCTGAAAGTCACAAAGCTAATTAGTGCTCAATATGATGTTGGAACTCAGATCACTGGACTCTTAACTAATAGCCTCTCTGAATGCCACCAAGCTGTCAGCAGGTGAGCTCTGATGCAGTCATATTTTTCACCAGACTCTTCTTTTTCTTTGTCTTGGTTTTGAAAACATTAATAGAGACAGAGAGTTGCTCTGTGATGATAAGATGGATGAAACTTACTTGCTTGCTGACTTTTTGGCTAATTCCATGACTTCCTGCTCATTATTAAAGTTATTAACCAACAGAAGTAGCTGATTGTAATAAAAGCTGAGGACTCATTTGTGACTGTGATTTTTTTCATGTTTTAGTTTTTAAAGGGTTGAGTTCATGAATGAAAAATACAAGTAAGGAACAGGTTACAAAAATGTGACTCAACGTTAAGCCCAGGGCTCAACATGAAGCCAACATAAGCCAAGACTGTGAGATAAAGTCATGGTTTTGATTGTTTTCTTTTAAGAATATTAAATGATTTATAAGCCTAGGATGATATCATTGCCACTCAAGGAACCTTTACATGCCATTTTGTAGAAAATAGTGTCTTTAAGTAATGACTGTCACCATTTTAATCTACTATATTTCTATAGTCAGGATTTGCATCTTATTTCTCTGATAACATTTACATTTGGCTACAATAAGAAAGTACATTAAAACCATGTTACTGATGATTATTATCAGTGAAGTGGTTAACAATGTTGGCGTTTAAATGGCTATAATTACATTTCTAGGTTAACACTGCTATTAAGTTGAATAAGGAAAGCTTTTGTTTCTGTGTTACTGTTCCACATGTGGGTCTGAGAACTCTAAAGTCCAGATGAATGAGCCTTTGATTTAAGAAAAATTCTTCTTGATTGTACAGATAATAGCTCTATAGCTCTAGTAAGGAAAGTAAACCATATTTTGGAGAAATCAGCAGAAATTCATAGGCCCTTAAGCCTTTTGGAGCCAACCAATGTCAGTTGCTTTAGGATGAACAATTTTATTGAACTGCAATAAATTCGAATTTTTTCTAAACCCCTAAGTTTGGGAGGATAATCTATTCTTATTTTAATATTGTAAAGGAAGCATAAGCAATCATTTTAAACATATCTAAGAGTGTTAGAATAGAATGAAGGTGCTGGTATTTGCTGTGTTGCCTCTGAAAGGTATAAAGATGAGAGATGATTGCTGGTGAGTCACTGTTCTATTTCATCTAGAGACCTGAGTGCTCTCACTGCTCTATTCCCTTAGGGGGTCATGTTCCTCTGCTTAAAAGAATATTGCCTGCTCTCTGAGCTAATGATTTGTTTGGAGGATGGAAGTCTCAGAGGTGAAGATAACTGCACAGTTTTAAAATGTATCTTTCAGATCTTTGATCTGCTTTTTTTCTGAATATATGGGACCCTTCAATGGCAAGATTAAAGATGCCTCTTAGAAGAAAGGCAAAAGTTGAAAACTTAAAAGCTGCTCAGATTTCCAAATAATATTTTTGTATTTTTGCATTTTGTTGACATCATGTCGGGTGAGTGTTGTCCTTCATTCATGTGATAATTGGATGGTAATCAAAATGCAGTGTTGGATCACAGGATTTTCAAGAAGATGGGGAAACTATGAATTTTGTTTTAAAAAGTAGTTAATGCTAACTAGCTTATGATTAGGGCATGCATACTCATTTTGAATTCTATTTAATTCAACAAATATTTACTTGGTACCTAGTAGATGTCAAACATCGTGTCTTCTTTTGTAGAGAATACCAAGAGCCAGGACCTGTTTTCAAGAGACTTTTACCCTTAATCAGGCAGTTAAGGCGATTACAGAAATGGCTGTGGAAGGATACAGAATATGCCAAATGCAAAGTGGGTGGAGAGAAATGAATGACATTCAATGGGGACAGAGAAGAGATCACATTAAAATGGGAGGGCATGGTGGAAGGTTTCAGCATTTGAGAATGACCTAGCAAAATGAGCAAGATTTTCTTGGTTGGGGCTAGAGCTGAAAGTCAGTGATAATAAGGTATGTGGTGTGTCAGGGGTCGGGGGAGTGGCAAAGGGCAGGGGAGGTAGGTGGTCAGAAAAGGTTGAGAAGCTTGTGTTTAATGAGTAGGCATTGGGGGCCAAGGAAGATTTTTGAGCAGAGCAGAGATAGTGTTAAGAGTTAGGGATCAAGAAGTATTTTTGAAGCACTTTAAAGCAGAATTTAGTGTCTTTTGAACTAAAAAAACATGTCTATGTAAACAAATGTGTTTGATAATATCCTACAGGTTATATTTCCAAATAAAATGGATACCCCTAAAAATGTTAAACATGCCAGTAGTATGAGAATTAATTTCTCACTTATACTTGGATCCCAAAGGTTATTATTTTTCAGTTTTATAATGCTGTAGCTCATCCATTCATATATTTCTAATCTAGGTGAAATAAATCAGCAAGGGAGTGTTTTACTTTATAGCATTCTGAACAACTAATCTGCCCCCCTCTACCATACGAATAGCTGAGTTTTTAATGTCTGAATAATATTTTGATATGCTTTTGTTCTGCTCCTAAGTCCTGTTGGAAAAAAATATGACCGCATAAAAACAGGGAAATAAAACATACAAAGTGTAGAAAAATAAATAATTTGACAGAGCAAAGAAAAGCAAAAGATACTTTTTTAAAAGCAAAATTCAGGACTGCCTCGATAGACATAGATCTGATCAGAAGATACTTTTTTCAGGAATTTTTTTTCATAATTACCATTGTGATAGCTGAAGTTTATCCAAAATAAACCTGAAAGTGTGAGTAGCTTCACTTACCTTCTACTAAACCTTCGTCAGAATAAGTCATCTAATATGGGCCATGTTTCCTATGTTTTGTGTTTCTTCTGCCCATTCTGGGCAGAAAATATGAGAATCTGAAGGATATGTAACTCAAAGCTACAGAACTCTCAAACACGTGATGACAAGACAGCATGCTGAAGTAAGCACAATAGGACCTTGGGGGTGTTTTAATACACTGAAATTCAACAAGCTGCCATTTTTTAAAAAAATATCATCTTGTTTTACTATGGATGTATTTGGAAGAAGATCTTTCCTTATTTTATAACTAGAGGACAGTGAGTAGTTAAGTAATATTCTACTGACATAAAAAAGTTAACAAAACCCATTTGTGCTTAATTTGCTAGTTTTTACAATTTATTCTATGGAGGAAAGAAATACCAAAATAGATTGTTGTTTCATCTAAATGACCACAAGGGAACACAAAGAGCTCAAATCAAATAGAAGACACTTCTTTACATTACAAAAGCTTTGCCTTATGATTCCATTTGAGTTAGGTCAAAAATATTTAAAATATTTTACTTTAAAAAGTTTGATTTTCAAACAAATAAAATAAACCCTAAAGTCTGTCATAGGTAGTATTGTTTTTATTTTATTTTGTTTTCATTTTTAAGATATCCCATTCTGAAGTTCTTGACTGGGGACCAGAGCCAAGCCTAGTTGACACATAATACCGACCTCTGAATCCCTTCTAGTAGTTTGTTTTTAATGCACTATTTTAAATAGAATTCTTCATATAAAGAAGCATGTAGGGAAAAAAAAAGTAGAATTGAGAAAGATTACTACCAAGTATTTTCTAAATTAATATTCAAACTCAAACTGATAAAAAAATTGGAAAGTTATCATCGGTGAAGTACAAGCACAAGACAAATTGGCGCTCATCGACAGTCACTCTTTTCAGTAAGGTATAACGCTGAGCATACTAAAAAACCATGGGCTTATTTCACATTCCTTATGCCTCATCAGTGCATAGTGTTGACTAAGATAACTGATGAAAAAAGAAAAAACAGCATGAGAATGATGATTTATCAGGTACACCACATTATTACCACTATTTTATGCTTCTCTTAAACATCAAAGGTATAATTTAGCACAAACGTATATCCAACCTTCTTGTAGTAATGGATTCATAAAATTAAAATTACCAATCAAATTAAAATCACCAACACTTGAGTAAACCTTTCCAACGAAAGTGACTTAACCATTAAGAATGATATGAAAATTAAAGTGTTCTAAAAACCAATGCCTTACCAGTAACTGGATCAGGTTCAATGTCACCTCTGCGCTCCTTCCATGAGAGCAGGGAATTGAGGCTGGTAAGATCTGCAGACTCTATGTAGTTGTTCACTGTAAGCATCATCTGATGAGCTTTTGCTATTCCATAGTGGACTTTTGTCTCATCCATCAGAGGCATGCTTATTAGCTCTAACGTTGCATCAAAAGCTTGCTGGAAGCATTCAGAAGCTTTCTTGTAGTGTCCCTAAAAAGGAAAGAGAAATAATTTTCTTTATTACTTTGAATGTCACCATTTCACATATTTTCTATCCTTATCCTTGCATGTCCCACACTGACCTTTCCACAGTTACACAGTTTATATTCAAGAAGAAAAGGATGGCAAGCGGGCTGTTAGGATAAGATTCTTTTAAAGACCTGTGATTACTCACCATTCAATATCTTGAAATTAATTTAGTAGGAAAGTTGTATCTATTAGACTAAGCTATATCGGACTTAAGTTCTGTGGTGGCTGTCAAGATGGCTGAATAGGAACAGCTCTGGTCTGCAGCTCCCAGCGAGATCAACACAGAAGACCAGTGATTTCTGCATTTCCAACTGAGGTACCCGGCTCATCCCACTGGGACTAGTTAGATAGTGGGTGCAGCCCACGGAGGACGAGCTGAAGCAGGGTGGGGTGTTGCCTCACCTGGGAAGCACAAGGGTTTGGGGAACTCCCTCCCCTACTCAAGGGAAGCCATGAGGGACTGTGCCATGAGGAAGGGTGCATTCCAGCCCAGATACTACACTTTTCCCATGGTCTTTGCAACCTGCAAACCAAGACAGTCCCTCCAGTGCCAACAATACCAGGGCCCTGGGTGTCAAGCACAAAACAGGACAGCTGTTTGGGCAGACACTGAGCTAAGTGCAGCAGGTTTTCTTCATACCCCAATGGTACCTGGAACGCCAGTGAGACAGAATCATTCACTGCCCTGGAAAGGGGGCTGAAGCCAGGGAGCCAGGTGGTCTAGCTCAGTGAATCCCACCCTCACAGAGCCCAGCAAGTTAAGATCTACTGGCTTGAAATTCTCGTTGCCAGCACAGCAGTCTGAAGTTGACCTGGGACACTTGAGCTCGGTTGGGGGAGGGGTGTCTGCCATTACTGAGGCTTGAGTAAGCGGTTTTCCCCTCACAGCGTAAACAAAGCCGCCAGGAAGTTCAAACCCGCCAGAGCCCACCTCAGCTATGCAAAGCCACTGTAGCCAGACTGACTCTCTAGATTCCTCTGCTTTGGGCAGAGCATCTCTGCAAGAACGGCAGCAGCCCCAGTCAGGGGGTTATAGATAAAATTCCCATCTCCCTCTGACAGAGAACCTGGGGGAAAGGGTGGCTGTGGGCGCAGCTTCATCAGACTTAAACATCCCTGCCTCCTGGCTCTGAAGACAGCAGGAGATCTCCCAGCACAGTGCTTGGGCTCTGCTAAGGGACAGACTGCCTCCTCAAGTGGGTCCCTGACCTACGTGCCTCCTGACTTGGAGACACCTCCCAGCAGGGGTCGAGAGACACCTCATACAGGAGATCTCTGGGTGACATCTGGTGGGGGCCCCTCTAGCTTCTAGAGGAAGGAACAGACAGCAATCTTGTTCTGCAGACTCTGCTGGTGACACCCAGGCAAACAGGGTCTAGAGTGGACCTCCAGCAAACTCCAGCAGACCTGCAGCAGAGGGGCCTGAATGTTAGAAGGAAAGCTAACAAACAGAAAGGAATAGCATCAGTATCAACAAAAAAGATGTCCACACAAAAACTCCATCCAAAGGTCACCAGCATCAAAGACCAAAGGTAGATAAATCCACAAAGAGGGGGGAAACCAGTGCAAAAAGGCTGAAAATTTCTAAAACCAGAAGCCTCTTCTCCTCCAAAGGATCACAATTCCTCGCCAGCAAGGGAACAAAATTAGACAGAGAATCAGTTTGATGAATTGACAGAAGGCAGCTTCAGAAGGTGGGTAACAACAAACTCCTCTGAGCTAAAGGAGCATATTGTAACCCAATGCAAGGAAGCTAAAAACCTTGAAAAATGGTTAGACAAACTGCTAACTAAATTAACCAGTTTAGAGAAGAACATAAATGACATGATGGAGCTGAAAAACACAGCCCGAGAACTTCGTGGAGCATACACAAGTATCAACAGCCAACTTGATCACGTGAAAGAAAGGATATCAGAGATTGGAGATCAACTTAATGAAATAAAGTATGAAGACAAGATTAGAGAAAAAAGAATGAAAAGGAATGAACAAAGCCTCCAAGAAATATGGCGCTATGTGAAAAGACCAAACCTACATTTGATCAGTCAAGCCCACATGTGATCACTTTCACTACCTGAAAGTGACTGGAAACCAAGTTGGAAAACACTCTTCAGGATATTATGCATGAGATCTTCCCCAACCTAGCACGGCAGGTCAACATTCAAATTCAGGAAATATAGAGAACACCACAAAGATACTCCTCAAGAAGAGCAACTCAAGATACATAATTGTTAGATTCACCAAGGTTGAAATGAAGGACAAAATGTTAAGGGCAGCCAGAGAGAAAGGTCAGGTTACCCACAAAGGGAAGCCCAACAGCAGCTCTCTCTGATAAAACCCTACAAGACAGAAGAGAGTGGAGTCAATATTCAACATTCTTAAGGAAAATAATTTTCAACCCAGAATTTCATATGCAGCCAACTAAGCTACATAAGCAAAAGAGAAATAAAATCCTTTACAGACAAGCAAATGCTGAGAGATTTTGTCACCACCAGGCCTGCCTTGCAAGAGCTCCTAAAGAAAGCACTAAATATGGAAAGGAAAAAGTGGTACCAGACACTGCAAAAACATACCCAATTGTAAAGACCATCGACACTATGAAGAAACTGCATTAACTGATGAGCAAAATAACCATCTAGCATCATAATGGCAAGATCAAACTCACACATAACAATATTAACCTTAAATGTAAATGAGCTACATACCCCAATTAAAAAACACAGACTGGCAAATTGGATAAAGAGTCAAGATTCATTGGTATACTGTATTCAGGAGACATATCTCACATGCAAAGACACACACAGGCTCAAAATAAAGGGATGGAGAAATATTTACCAAGCAAATGGAAAGCAAAGAAAAAAAGGAAGGGGCTGCAATCCTAGTCTCTTACAAAACAGACTTTAAACCAACAAAGAAAAAAGGGACAAAAAAGGGCATTACATAATGGTAAAAAGATCAATGCAACAAGAAGAGCTAACTACCCTAAATATATACGCACCTAATACAGGAGCACCAAGAATCAGAAAGCCAGTTCTTAGAGACCTACAAAGAGATGTAGACTCCCACACAATAATAATGGGAGACTTTAACACTCCACTGTCAATATTAGACAGATCAACAAGACAGAAAATTAACAAGAATATTAAGGACTTGAACTCAGCTCTGGACCAAGCAGACCTAATAGACATCTACAGAACTCTCCATATCAAGTCAACAGAATATACATTCTTCTCAGCATCACATCACACTTACTCTAAAATTGACCACATAACGGAAATAGAACACTTCTCGACAAATGCAAAAGAATGGAAATCATAACAAACAATCTCTCATACCACAGTGAAATTAAATTAGAACTCAGGATTAGGAAACTCACTCAAAATGACAAAACTACATGGAAACTGAACAACCTGCTCCTGAATTACTACTGGGTCAATAACAAAATTAAGGCAGAAATAAAGAAGTTCTTTGAAACCAATGAGAACAAAGACACAACGTACCAGAATCTCTGGGACACAGCTAAAACAGTGTTTAGAGGGAAATTTATAGCACTATATGCTACAAGAGAAAGTGGGAAAGATCTAAAATTGACACTGTAACATCACAATTAAAAGAACTAGAGAAGTAAGAGCAAACAAATTCAAAAGCTAGCAGAAGACAAGAAATAACTAAGACCAGAGCAGAACTGAAGTAAATAAAAACACAAAAATACTCTTCAAAAAAATCAATGAATCCAGGAGCTGGTTTTTAGAAAAGAGTAAAAAAAAATAGACTGCTAGCCAGACTGATAAAGAAGAAAAGAAAAAAGAATCAAATAGACACAATAAGAAATGATAAAGAGGATATCATCACTGATCCACAGAAATACAAACTACCATCAGAGAATACTATAAACACCTCTATGCAAATAAATTTAAAAATCTAGAAGAAATGGATAAATTCCTGGACAAATACACCCTCCCAAGGCTAAATCAGGAAGAAGCCAAATCCCTGAATAGACCAATAACAACTTCTGAAATTGAGGCAGTAATTAATAGTCTACCAACCAAAAAAAGCATAGGACCAGACAGATTAACAGCCACATTCTACCAGAGGTAGAAAGAGAAGCTAGTATTATTTCTTCTGAAATTATTCCAGATAATGGAAAAAGAGGAACTCCTCCCTAACTCATTTTATGAGGCCAGCATCATCCTGATACCAAAACAGGGAAGAGACACATCAAAAAAAGAAAATTTCAGGCCAATATCCCTGATGAACATTGATGAGAAAATCCTCAATAAAATACTGGCAAACTGAATACAGCAGCACAACAAAAAGCTTAGTTACCATGATCAAGTTGGCTTCATTTCTGGGATGCAAGGCTGGTTCAACATACGCAAATCAGTAAATATAATCCATTACATAAACAGAACCAATGACAAAAACCACAGATTATCTCAGCATGCAGAAAAGGCATTCGATAAAATTCAACACCGCTTCATGCTAAAAGCTCTCCATATACTAGGTATTGATGGAACGTATCTCAGAATAATAAGAGCTATTTCTGACAAACCCACAGCTGATACCATACTGAATGAGCAAAATCTGGAAGCATTCCCTTTGAAAACTAGCACAAGACAATAATGCCCTTTCTCACCACTCCTATTCAACATAATTTTGGAAGTTCTGACCAAAGCAATCAGGCAAGAGAAAGAAATGATGGGTATTCAAATGGGAAGAGAGGAAGTCACATTGTCTCTGTTTGCAGATGACATGATTTTATATTTAGAAAACTCTATTGTCTCAACCCATAATCTGCTTAAACAGATAAGCAACTTCAGCAATGTCTCACAATACAAAATCAGTGTGCAAAAATCACAAGCATTCCTATATGCCAATAATAGACAAACGGAGAGCCAATTAATGAGTGAACTCCCATTCACAATTGCTACAAAGAGAATAAAATCCCTAGGAATACAACTTAC